TCCTTTTTTCTTTGATCTCTTTGGGGTACAGACTTAGTAATGGTATTGATGGATCAAAAGACATAGCCCTTAGAGCATAGTTACAAACGGTTCTCCAGAATAATTGGACCAGTTCACAACTCTATCAACGGTTTATTAGTGTACCTACCTATTTGCCCTCATCCCCTCCAGCATTTGTAATTTCTGATAGGTGTGAGGCAGTACCTCAGAGCAATAGTTATTTAGAACATTTTTTTCATATGACTATAGATAGATTTGATTTCATCTTTTGAAACTGACTTATTCATATCCCTTGATCATTTTTCTATCAGTTGGGGAATGCATCTTATTTTATAAATTTGACCCAGTTACCTATATATATGAGAAATGAGACCTTTATCAGAGAAACTTGCTGTAAAAAATTTTTGCTTTTACTTCATTGTCTATGGTACCTTTTAGCAAAATGTAGTTTCCTTGATTATCTCCTTTAATTATTTTAATTAGATCTATTTTTGCTTTTGCCTCATCTGAGATTGATTGTTATCCCTGCCTTTTTTGCTTAAGCTAACGCCTAACAGATTCTGCTCTATAAGTATATCTCTTGTAAACAACATATTGTTAGATTCTGATTTCTAATGCATTCTGCTCACTACTTCCATTTTATGAGTGAGCTCATTCCATTCACATTCACAGTTATGGTAACTAACTGTGTATTTCCCTTCATCCTATTTTCTTCTGTTTATCCTTCTCTTTTGCTATCTGACCCTCCTCAAAAACCTGTTTTGTTTCTGATCACTGCTGCTCTTAATCTACCCTCCTTTTTATTATTTCCCCCCAGCCATATCTCTTAACCCTTTCTCCTTCTATTTCCTTATTGGGTAAGCTAGATAGGTTACTATACCCAATCCTCTTTGAACCAATTCCAATGAGAGTGAGCTTCCAAGAACTGGCTGACTCTCCCCCCCTACTTCCATTGCCCCCTCCACTGTAAAAGCTCTTCCTTGCATGCCTCTTTTATGTGAGAAAATTTTCCCCATCCTACCTCTCCTCCATTCTTGCAGTACAGCCCCCTTTCTCACTCCTTCATTTGAGGGGTGGAGCGGGGAAAGGGGAGATCGTTCAACATAATTGATTCATACTCATGCCCTCTGTCTATGTAGACACCTTCTAACTCTTCTAATAATGATAAAGTTCTTAGGAGTTACATGTATCATCTGCCCCATAGGAATGTAAACAGTTTAACTTTGAGTCTCTTATGATTACTTCTTCATGTTTACCTTTTTTATGCTTCTCTTGAGTCTTATGTTTGAATGTCAAATTTTCTATTTAGCTCTGGTCTTTTCATCAGGAATACTTGAAAGTCCTCTATTTCATTAAATATCTATTTTCCCCCCCAGAAAGATTATATTTATTTTTGCTGGGTAGATGATTCTTGGTTGTAATTCTAGCTCTTTTGCCTTCTGGAATATCATATTCCAAGTCCTCCACTCCTTTAATGTGGAAGCTGCTAAATCTTGTGTGATCTCGACTGTGACAATATTTGAATTGTTTCTTTCTGACTGCTTACATTATTTTCTCCTTGACCTGGGAGCTGTGGAATTTGGCTATAACATTGCTGGGAGTTTTCATTTAGGGATCTCTTTTAGGAGATGATTGATGGATTCTTTCAATTTCTGTTTTACCCTCTGGACCTAAGGTATCAGGGCAGTTTTCCTCTATAATTTTTTTGAAATATGATGTCTAGGCTCTATATTTTGTCATGACTTTCAGGTAGTCCAATAATTCTTAAATTAAAATTATTTCTCCTTGATCTATCTTCCACGTCAATTATTTTTTCTGGTAACATTTCACATTCTCTTATTTTTTTTCATTCTTTTGCCTTTGTTTTGTTGTGGTTTTTTTTTTTTGATGTCTCATGGAGTCCTTAGCTACCACTTACTCAATTCTGATTTTTAAGGAATTATTTTCTTCAGTGATTTTTTGTACTTCCTTTTCCATTTGGCCAATTCTGCTTGTTAAGGAGTTCTCTTCAGTGGATTTTTTGAGTGTCTTTCACAATTAGGCCAATTCTGTTTTTTAAGCTGTTATTTTCTTCAGTATTTTTTGTGTATGTGCCTCTTTTACCAAGCTGTTAATTCTCTTTTCATAATTTTCTTGCATTGTTCTCATTTCTTTTCCCAATTTTTCTTCTACCATTCTTTGTTATTAGTCACTTTCTTCTTTCTGATTTTTTGTGACCCTTTTGGGGGTTTTCTTGGCAAAGATACTAGCATAGTTTGCCATTTCCTTCTCCAGCTAATTTTGCAGATGAGGAAACTGAGGCAAACTAGGTTAAGTGACTTGCTTAGGGTCATACAGCTAGCAAGTATCTGAGGTGGGATTTCAATTTAGGTCTCACAGACTCCAGACCCAGCATGCTTTCCACTGTACTACTTACTTGCTCTTATTTCTTTCTAACTCTTCTAGGAATTCTTATTGGGCTTGGGTCTAATTGGTATTTTTCTTTCAGGTTTGCTTATAGCTGTTTTCACATTATTGTCTTCTTTCTGAGTGTATGTCTTAATTTTCCCTGCCACTATAGTAGTTTTTTATGGTCAAGTTCTTTTTTCTGTTGTTTGCTTATTTTTTCAGCCTGTTTCTTGACTTTGCACTTTGTTAAAATTGGGCTCTGCTCATCTAGGGGTGAGGAGGCACTACTCCAAGCTTCAGGCATTTTCATGCTTCTGGGTTTTTTTTCTGTTTTTAAGTTTTTTATTTGTAAATGTTTATATTGATGCAGAGAAATTGGATTTTAGAGCCACAAGATATCCATTTATTATAAAACAAGAGACCTGGAAATTATTTACATAATGAAATAAAAGCTTTCAGAACTTCTGTGGAATGCACAACTTTCATGACACCACTTTGTTAGTGAATTCAGTTCACATATTTCCCCAGAATGTCACTATCTCTAAATAAGGAATACTCCTTGTCTTCTATAACAACTTTGGTTCCACCATATTCTGGAAGAAGAACTTTATCTCCAACTTTCATACTAACTGGTTGAATTTCTCCACTCTTTCCTTTAGATTCTGATCCAACAGCTACTACCTTTGCCTGTATTACTTTTCCTTGAGATTTTTCTGGAAGCATAATACCTCCTTTAGTAACAGTCTCAGCTGCACTCCTTTCAACCAGAACTCGGTCAAGGAGGGGAAGAAATTTCTAAAAGCCTGCCCTGTCATGGCTCCCGCAGAGCCCGCAGCTGTCACTCTGGCTCAGTCCATTCCCTCCATCCCTCCCCCAGGTGCTGGTAGACTCACAGCCCCCCTGTGCTTCTGTTTTCAGAGCTAGTTCTGGGGGTCTGCAAGTTTTTGGTGCTTCCAAGGTGGTGTGATTCAGGGAGAGGTGTGGTCACTGCTCCCTTGGTCTGCACTCTGGTCTTTACCCAAGAAGGCCCTTGCTTCCCTGCAGCTGCAAGAACAGCACTCCTCTTGGCCCTGGAACTCTTAACAAGCGTCCCAGTTCTCCTGCAATTGCCTTACTAGTCCTCCTCTCAGCCCTTGAATTGTGACCCATAACTGAGAGTGGTTGATCTGCACCAGCTTCACCCAGTGCCAGCAAAGGGTCCCTTCTAATCTCTTTCTGACTAGTTATGTGGTCCCCCTCTCCCTTACTATCTCTGGGAAGAGAACTCCCAAAGCTGCTGCTGCTGTCACTACTGTCATGGTTGCCTCCAATGCCCACTGCTGGTTCTGCTACTGGACTGTAGGCAGTTCCCTACTCCGCTGTCACAGACCCCTTCTATCATCCTTCTGAGTTGTCTTAGGCTGGAAAAATGTCTCATTTTGACCTTTTGTTAGCTCTGCTATTCCAAAATTTGATTTGAGGAGTTATTTTAAAGTTGTTTGGAGGGGAATGTTGGGAGAATTTATTTGGGTTGCTGCCTGTACTTTGCTATCTTGGCTCTACCCCTAATTTCTACATTTGTAAATAAAGTTTTATTGTATTTTAAAATGTGAAAGCCATTCTCAGTTCATTGGACTTTATAAATGGTACAGAGTGACCTCTGGTATAGGATAGTGATTTCTTTAGTAAGTGCTTTTAAACACCTGCTTTTTTAATTGAATTGATCTTCACCTTTAAAGGACTGCACATATTTTGTAGCTCTGAAAAATGCCATTCCTCTTTACAACACTAGATGATGTCAGAAAATATTTATTTAATATAATATGACGCTTCTTTGTTTTTTTTGGGTTTTTTGGGGTTTTTTTGCTTTTTGGTAAGGCAGTCGGGGTTAAGTGACTTGCTCAGGGTCACACAGCTAGTGTCAAGTGTCTGAGGTCACATTTGAACTCAGGTCCTCCTGACTCCAAAGCCAGAGCTCTATCCACTGCACCACCTAGCTGCCCCTCCCCCCACATACGTCTTAAAAAGTGACAGAAACATAGTATTGTATAGCAGAGCATGGGAGAGGGAGGTAAAGTTTGGAGTCAGGGAAAATGGAGGTCAGTGTGGCTCTGACATATAACCTGAGTTTGACTTTCTTCATCTATGAAATGAAGGGTTTACTCTTAATCTGCTAAGCCCCACTTTCCAGCTCTAAATACTGCGATCCTATCATCTTAAATGTGGTCAAGAGCTGCAAAATATACATACTGTCCAAAGACCATCTTGTAAGTACTTGGTGTTCCTCCAGAGCGAAAGAGTCATCTTTACTGTTTGAGACTCTAAAGTGTGATAGTAACATATGAGTGTCTGAGGAAGAATCTAATAGGTGCAGGGGTAGGGAACCTGCAGCCTTGAGGCCACGTGTGGCCTTCTAGGTGCTTGGGGGCGACCTTTTGACCGAGTCCAAATTTTACAGAACAAATCCTTTTATTAAGGGGATTTGTTCTGTGATTTTGGACTCAATCAAAGGGCCACACTTGAGGACCTAGAGGGCCACATGTGGCCTTGTGGGCGGTTCCCCACCCATTAAGGTAAATGCAAAGTTAATGAGGTATTGGAGGGACCTGATTCCATTTCGTTTGTGTCTGCAGGTGAGACGGGCATTGGTAAGTCAACATTAATGGATACTTTATTCAACACCAAGTTTGAAAGTGACCCAGCCACTCACAATGAGCCGGGAGTCCGGTTAAAAGCCAGGAGTTATGAGCTTCAGGAGAGCAACGTACGTCTGAAACTGACCATCGTTGATACTGTAGGATTTGGAGACCAGATAAACAAAGATGACAGGTAAATTTCAGAATCTTTTTGGATTGATTTAGGGTTTCTGGAGGGCTGTGGGTGAGATGGTCTGGTGGTTTAGTTTCAGGCTCTAGAGACTCTGGCTATGGTACTTGGGCCCCTGAAGGGAGTTTATAAGCCATTGTGGTTACCCTATATGTTGGTCTTCCCTTAGGAGTACTGCCTGGCTATATTCTGACACTGCCCACCTCTGTTGTGGGGACACCTAAACAGAATGGCAGCATTGGCTTTATTCTACAGAACTCAAGATCAGAAAAGTACCTGGAAGAAATCTCAGTATAACAGGCAGGGCACTGGACTGGGGGTCAGAAGTCCTGGATTCTAGTCTTTCTACCACTCAGAAGCAAATGCCCAGTTGATTTGTTCAAGTCATTTCATCTTTTCTTAGCTCTAAAATTGGGTTTTGAACTATATTATCTCCAAGCTGTTTCACAAGCTTTCATAGTATGAAAGAGAAGACCCCAAGAGAGTTGTAACTGAACAGACTGGCTTCCAAATGCCAAGTAATCACACTGTGGAGGCGGTTTCATAAGAGACCTTTTAAATGCACCATCTACTCCTCTGGATCCAAGGGTGGGGTGTAAGACATTTGTCAGTCCTCATGATTTATTGTATTGTTTTTGAGCTCTTCTCCTTATTTTTTGTAGTGGCGATTGCAGTGTGGGTCCATGATGAAGCTAAAAAATGAGTGAATAGTGAAACCTAAACTCAGCACCCGTACGTGTTGGATTGGGGTTTACCTTTTCGATATTTGTAAAGAAAAAGTTTGTGGAGCAAATTATTCCATGAGTTGAACTCCTTGTATTCCTAGGATTTGGCACAGTGCCTGGCACACTGTAAGTGCTTAATAAATGATTGTTGACTGACTTCCCTGTGGAATCACCATTGCCTCCTTCCTGTCTCTAGGATGCATTGTAAGCCCTACTGTTTTGGATTTCAGCCAAATCGGTGATGAATCTCTCCATCCTGAGCCGTGATGGAGAGCAGATGTTCCCAGGATCCTACCTGAAGCTTTTCCCTTGTAGAACAGAGCTCAGCTCTTCAGGGTCACCTGCACACAGGGAGGTTAACAGCTGCTGCAAGATTTTCTCTGATGTCATTGTTAACAGTCTGAATGCTAAGCAAATGAAGAGTCTTTAAAAATATATGTGGAGCTAGTCATGATTAACCTACTTTCTGAAAAGCCAACTATTTCAAGGACCTGAGTAGTTATTTATATGTAAATGGGAGCCTTTAATCTCACCTTAGTTTCCCCTACTCCCTAAAGCAGGTTCTTAGAGGAATTTCTTTTTAGAATCACATTCTTATCTGCTATCTCATTATGGAAGATGTGACAATCAAACAATGAAAGCTGATTTTAAAAAAGCTTTTAAGTTCTGCTCAGTGTTTTTAGAAACTTTGCCTACCTCACCAAGTTACTGTATTACTTTGTCTTCTTATTAGGAAACCAGGTTAAGAACCAAAACAAAACTCAGCTGTTCCTTATTGTAGGAAATGAAGAATTTAGGCTAAAGTTGATTGGCATAACTACGTTGGGTATGAAGGCTCTTTATAACAAAAGTTAAAAGCTAACACTGTGTAACTTTGGACAATTGATTTAACTTCCAAGTCTTCACTTTTCTCATATGTAAAATCCTGAAGTCAAACTATTAGATCCGGAAAGAATCTTAGAAATGATCAAGCCTGGTCTTTTTATTTGAAAGATGAAGAAATAGAATCCCAGTGAGGTTAGGTACTTTTCACTCAATATCACACAGCTAGTAGGCATTAGGGCCAGGAACAGGACCCATGTCTCCTGTTTGTTGTATGTTTTCTTGGAATTAGATGATCTTTAAGGCCTCTTCTGGCTTTAAAATTGTATGTGTCTATGATTGTAATGGGTTGTACTTTTAAGCCACTCCTTTTACCCAGGAACATTCATTGAGTATCTTAAATGATGGTAGGAGCTTCCCCCCTCAGGCAAGTTTTCTTACATAGCTGCCATATGAGCTGTCACTTTTAAGTATAGAAAAGCCAAAGGGAAGTAGAGCAGTTTCAAGTTCCCCTGAAAAGAAAGGGGATACCACTTGGCTTTAGCTGTGCCTCTTCATTCACTTCAAATGACATTCAAGAAAAAAAAGTACTTGAGTGGTTGGATTCTTACTGGCCATTTGTCATTCTCAGTACTAACGGGAAGATGAGGTAACTCTGAATGTATGTGGCTGGCCAGCAGTGGAGTGTAGGAGATGGACAGGAAGCAGCCCCCACACAGGATGCTCTCCTCTTGTCAACCACAAACATCTAACAAAGTTCTCTGAGAAAAAAAAAATATGTCATTGTATAAAAAATGCTTTACAAACTCGAATGCTATTTTCATGTTGGTTATGGTGTTTGTTTTTACTTCTTCATTCACAAAGGGAGTCAAAACTTCACTGCCATATATGTTGGTTTAGGATAGAGGGCTCTTATTCTAGTTCCAAGACTGGTATTCCCCCGCCTGTAATAGGCCGCCCGAGAGCTGCCAGATCCTCAGTTTAAAGGTATGAACCATGTTGACATTCATGCTGTTTGTTGGGTGCAGCGTTGTTGATTCTGGCCTCTTTCCTAAGTCATTCCAGGAGTATAAGCAACTTCCTGGACTTTGGGAGCTAGATTAACCCTTTCAAGGTCACTAGGACAGATCGTTCCATGTATTTCAGCTCTTGCGGTGGCTATGCGTTCATTTTTATCAATACAGTCTTGTATACCGAGTGAAAATTTGATGCTAGGATTTTCTTCATTTTCAGGAGACTGCACACAGATCAAGCCTTTTTTTGTTGTTGTTGCTTAAAAAGTCTGAACCACCTCCCATTTCCCCTCCCAAATATACCACAGCCCTCAAATTGGAATAATAAGGGATTGTTCAGATAAATACCATTTCTTTATCTGTAGAGCCAAAGGCACATCAAGAACTTTTCAATAAGCATTATGCAGTTGTGTGTTAACGGAAGCACTTGCTAGTTAATAATAAGGACTGTTTTATGTGGAACCAAAATTGACCACATGTGCATATTTTTATTATAGTGAGGCTGAGCTCTTCTGTTCAGTAATAAGCATTTAATACTAGACCCAATGGAACGACTACTCACATGTAAATGCAGGCCACAAGTGATGTTATGACTATTAAAGTCTAGTATAATAGCAGCGAGATACTAGGGGTTGGAGTACATGCCCCCTCTTCCTTCTCTGCTCAGGGGCCCCTCTGCTGTGGAACCACACACATGATCCTGCCTGAGCTCAGTTTTGAGGGAACTCACCTTCCTAGAAGAAGGTCAGCCTTCTTTTCAGACATCCCTTACCTCCTTAACACCACCCCCCCAGCACTCAGGGGAAATTGCTTCAAGCTAAAGTTTGGCCTCCTGCTGAGTGTCTCTTTCAAAGGTGGGAATAGGAAGGCATGTATTTCTTCTCTACATACAAAAGATATATCAAGCACCTTGGCTTTCCTTTTACTTCTTGTTGGCAATTATCTCAAGACTGGTGTTTGGCCACCTGGGATCATGCAAAGAAACACTGAAGAAGCAGTCCCAAACCCACACTCAAGGCTCACTCAGCTCATATGACAAGACATGTGGTTTAGCTGCCATACACAACCGTTCTTGTTGGGGCAAAAGGGTGGTCCATCCCTGGGGGGAGGCATTTACCAGGCTAAGAGTACAAGGAAGGAAAAAGACCCCAGAGTAGAGTAACTCCCTTTTTAAGGGACTACTGAGTAAACGCTTAAGGATGAGCTCTTCTCAGTGACTGGTATAGGGGAATTATCTCACCATCTCAGGACCCCAAGCCTCCTAAATTTCTGAATCATGCCAGACCTAAGCATCCAGGGATTTCAACATCACCAAAGCATCCCAGGTACTGACCTAGCTCATGTGATTAGCTGGAATCAGTAAGGGCAGTTTTATACAAGTTCTCCAGCCAAAGTTCTACACCCAAAGTTACAAAATGAAAGGGAAAACAACATTTATGGAACATGTATGGGGGAGGGGAGCAGACTGTTGCTTGGTCTTGCAAAGCCACTTTGCCATCTCCCAAGTAAATAGGTATTTGACTCTCTCTTGCATTCAGAGGGCTGTTTTTTTTTTCCATGACCATATTGCTTAGAAGTGATTACTAAAAATGTTCATAGCAGCATGGATCTAGAGTTGGAAGGAAGCTTAGAAGCCATTGAGAGCAACCTCCTCATTTTACAGATGAGAAACTGAAGTACAGAGGTTAAGGGACTTGACCACACTCACACAGGTCATATATAGCAGAGCCACAAGGTCCACCCAAGTCTTATGCCTCCAAGTACTCCACTCCTTCCATGTTCTTTTCCTATAAATGGGAGAAGAGCCTTTAGCAGAGTTTGTCCCTGAAGCAGAAAGTAGTCTGAAATTTTTTCAGTACCATGGCCCTAATAATGAAATGCCCCCCCCCAGGGGAAATTCAGTTCCTCATCAGAAAGCTTCCTCCGGTGGCTGGTGAGCTGGTCAGAGCAGATGACCACATTCTTGGCTCAAGAATTCTTTAAGAGAGTATCTGACTCACTGGCATCAAATAATGCATCGTTTCCAAGGAGATCCAGAACAGGAAGTGTGATCTGAACCAAGATACCAAGTGTTTCTCAATTTAATTTTTTACACTTATATTTCTTGATGGATTGCATAATCTCCTTTATGCATCAAATGGCTTTTTTCTCATTGACTACCAACCCAAATTCTTGGGCAAATCCAACAAATAATATTGTAGAGATTTGTTGTTCAATCATTTAGTCATGTCCAACTTGTCATGACCCTATGGACAGTACTAAGATGATAAAAGAGATGACATCGGAAGATGAGTCCCTCAGGTTGGAAGGTGTTCGATATGCTACTGGGGAAAAGGGGAGAATGACTACAAGTAGTAATGGTACTAATGAAATGACTGGGCCACGGATAAGAGGAAGCTTAGCTGCAGATGCATCGGGTGACAAAAGGAAGGTCTGATGCTAT